TGGAAGAATAATCCAAGTTACATAAATTTTAATTTTTAATTCCTCAAAAACATATGTATAATTCATATATATAATAGTCACTAATCAAGGGTAGTGTTGTCATCAAAGATTGTTTGTCATTTTTTGTTTGATATGTATGATGAGAGTTCAATATAATGCATCCAATCAATTATCAAATAAAAATGAACAAGTCATATAGAATAGCCACTAATAATCACTAAAACTCTCTCCTCCTCAAAAAAAAAAATAATAATAATAATAATAATCACTACAACTCCAATACAATTTAGATGTAGAAATTTTATTAAATAATGTGTCTATTGTTGGCATCTACTTCTTTGTATAATTGTCATAAATAAATAAATAAATAAATATATATATATATATATATATATATATATATATATATATATATATATATATCAATTCAAGGATTTATGTGTTCTTTTTCAAATTAAAGATTAAATTGATAGACTATACATTATTATATATATTATGATCAACACACCTCCTCATGTGTGCATATTGATTTTTTAATGACATTTTGCATTAATCTATCTTTGATATCAAACTGAATGATGCATTTGTTTTTTTCTAAACTAAAAGCATAAACTGATAATTAGGTTAAACATTATATATATAAATATAAATAAATAAATATAAATAAATAAATAAATAAATAAATATATAAATAAATAAATAAATAATATATATATATATATATATATATATATATATATATATATATATATATTTATATTTATATTTATATTTATATTTATATTTATATTTATATAGAATTAGGTTCATGTGCGGTTGTGCGGTTAAATATGAGTCATTGATCTAGCTTAAATCAACGTCCAGGTTTACCAAACTTAAAAAAAAAACGGTGGCAATTTGGTAATTTTTTGCATATAGGTCAAATTTAAGTTGCGTGGGTTTTGTGCTTAAGGTGCGTGGGGTTTGTGCTTAAGGTGTGTGGGTTGTGTGTTTACTGTGAGTATTTGTTGAAACTAAAGGTGCATGGTTTTCCTTCTTAAGGTGCGTGATTTTTGTACTTAAAGTGCGTATGTTTTGTACTTAAGGTGCGTGAGTTTTGTGCTTAAGTTGTGTGGGTTGTGTGCTTACTGTGAGCATTTGTTAAAACTTATGTTTAATCGAATTGAAGCAATTTATGGTAATAAAAAGAAAATTTATTCAACTTAAGTGTTATTGAAGCAATTGCGCATACAAATTGCAACTCATCATATGGTGCAGGGCCCGCCCTGGGCATGTTTGCCCAAGGCCTTTGCGATATTGATGCTACACAAATTAAAGAGATTGTCATTGTACAAATCAATAATTTTTTTCTTTTTGCATGCACATGCAGTTCAATTGATTCCTGAGTGATAAATTATAAGCAATGATATAAGATAGAACTATGGCAACTGCAGTGTATGAGTTATACCGCAATGTGATAACTCTTTGTAATCACCAAACATTGATCCTCCCACCTAATGTGCGGTAGAGTCGTGATTTACCTATCCATTATCATGTTTGGTTAGGATGTGGAGGCCTTAGAGGAATTTTTTTTTTGGCCTTTTATGGGTAATACTAGTATTTTTTATGCGCGATGCGCAAAAAATAAGTGCCTAATATTATATTTTATATTAAGATTTTTGATATTTAAATAATAATAATAATAATAATAATAATAATAATAATAATAATAATAATAATAATAATAATGTAAATCATTTTTATACATTTGATATTTATATTGTAGGAAATAACTAAATGCATAAGATAAGAAAATACATGGTGGATGAATGTGTATGGTGACAATAGTGGAAAAGATAACGGAAGTTATAACGGTAAGGATATATTTGTTCAAAACATTGTAAAGTACAACATTTATAGCATAATGTATAAAAAAAAAAACTTAACAAAAAAACGGATATAAATAAAGGGTATAACGTTCATTCACACTTATTATGATTTTAGATTTAGATTTTAGATATGTCTTTCTTTTTTAATTTATTTGAGTTCGATCAATAAATATATTCAATAAATTACAACCAAATTAATTGACATACACATGCTAAGTGCTAACAAATGTTAACTTCTTAAATCTTACTATAATCATAATTACTTACGACAACATCCGTAAATAAACCAAAACTAATTACCTTTGATTTACAGGGATAGTATTATTACGTATATACTTTCAAATTTTACTGCCTCACTTTTATTTTCTGATGTGGTAAACACCGATGAATTATTATTTTTTATCATGTTTACATCAAGAATTTGAAAGTGAGTATAACTTAGGAGTAGAAAATGAAAATCCAAATAGTATTTTCCTTAGGAATTGAAAAAGCCCGTCACTATATGTATGTCTACTCTAAGTGAAATATGTCTTATGACTATAGTTGGCAAATGACCACAAGGAGATAAACCAGTTTAGGTTATTCATAGCTGACCGATTCAAACGAAGATGTGGCAACAGATAACTCTCATAAAGAGTCAAATTTAAAATTTGATGGTTATCAAACTAACTGTATGATCAACTTTCACTAGGGTTGTCCAGGAAAACTAATAATTACCGTTAAGTGGTTAACAACACATTTGTAAGAAAGAAAACATACATGCCCTGTTTGGTAAATGGCTGTTAGCTGATAGTTGTTAGATGTTAGCTGATTGAGTTAATTAGAGGGTATAACTTGTTGATAAAATTAGCTGATTGTAGAAAGGTGTTTAGTAAATTAGCTATTAGATGATAGCTGTTTGGTATAATTTCTTTTCTAAAAAAACTAATTGAAAAAGTTACTTTAAGCAGCTTTTTAAATTTTAACATTTTGAAATTACAAAAAGCTAATTAACCAAACACTTATATTGATTTTTTAACCAAATCAAACAATTAATAGTGATCAAATAAGTCAAAATTGATTAATAGGCTAACTATTTTACCAAACAGGACCACAATGCTATTTTGATCCAACAAAAATTGTTCCTTTAATTTGTTGGTTTATTTATTTTATTTTATTTTTACTTTGTCCCCTTATTATAGCTTAATGGAATAATGAGTATTCATGACATGAATAATGCACATATGATAACATGCAAGATTTGAGCATAACTTGGGCGTTAAGGAATTTGCAAATGTAATTAGTGAATTACATCTTGTGCTTAACAACTAATTAATTCTTAACGTAACCTTACTTAAGAAATAAACTAATTATTGTTAATATATTTTTAATATACTATATGTTTATTTTTAAGTAATAACATTAAAATAAATTTGACAACTACTATGTAGTTTGATGACATAACTGTTACCATTTCAAATGGATGGTCATAGGATTAAACCCGATGGTGGGACATTAATTCTTTGGGCTGAAAAAAGTTTGAGAAAGTATAGAACAAATACTATCCTGTAAAGAATTATAAGTATTTCAAAAATAAAAAATAAATAAATAATACATTAAGAAAAACCTTTAAACTAGTGGTTAATCTTATAATGTGAATCATGGTCCATGATATAAGAATTGTAGGTGTTGGAATTTGGAAGAATAAGTGGACCGACCCCTCCCTAAAGAGATGTAATGTGGGTGGCGAGGCTGGACGTTCATTTTTTTCTATTGTGATAAATTTTACTTCTGTAATCAATTGAGCTGCCCATCAGTCATGCATGCACGTTCATTTCTTTTACCACCACACCTACAGTGGGTTATAGAGACAAATTGTGTATGCATATATACAGAAACATCCTACGAAATTAGTTTTGGCTGGCGTGGGGTTGCTTCAACTCGCACATGAGCTGGATATACACTCAACTCTCAGCCCTACCACAATATTAATGTAATTACTTCTCCCAATCAACTAAATTCATGAAAATTGATTACTTTTTTATGAATTGGTAACATATTACATAAAACTAATTATGATACCAAATTAAATAATATATTCTTTCTCAACTAGTAAGTACACTGCACATCTATTATTTATATATTATATGCTGAACAAGTAGATTTCAATAAACTTTATTTAAAATAATGGTGAAAATTATATGTGTATTTATTTTTAAATATTTGTTCATAAAAAAATATTCTAAAGTGTTTTTAAAAACTCTTACAACAAAATTAGTACTCTCTTTGTTCTATTTTATCTGTCATGTTTATTATTTATTCGTCAAAATCACTTTTAAAAAAAAAAAAAAAAACTTAATTTAGTTTTTTGTGTTCAATAGTAATTTTGATATAATTTATGAATATATAAATTATTTACCAATACTAAACTTAATATTATAAAATTAAATTAAAAATAATTTCAATCAAACTTTGTTAATGGAACTAGACACGTAAAATGAGGCATATGCAATATTTTTTAAAAATTAGAAATTTGTAATTTATGTCGCTCACAAATATGTCAATGATCAATATTACTCCTGAATTATTAGTGGTGTGAATGTTGTCCCTTAATTTTCAAAATGTGACATGTATTACCCCTCCTTTGAATTATTAGTGGTGTAAATGTGGTTACCCGCTGTTTTCCCTATTCGAAAACCATGTGTTTTTTCCTCTATTTTTCTTTCTTCGTTTGTTCTCCTTCCGCTGACAACAATGTTTCTCCTTACTCATATTAATGGCGTTTTGAAAATTAAAGAGCAACATTTACATTATTAATAATTCAGATATGACATTAATAATTGACATATTTATGAGATGCACAAATTACAATTTTTTTCTTTTTTCTTTTTTGAAAACTCAATTTTCTCTTAAAAAAAAAGTAGAAATATATTTTTACTGTAAGATGTTGACAATCTTTCCTGAGACGGAGAAGATTAAAATAATCATAAAAATGATTATAAAAAAAAAGTAGTGAATAGTGATGAGATGAGGCCTTTACGAAAAACTCTGCACCAAACTCAACCCATGTCTTCAATCTTATATAACCACTAGATACATATACATACAAACACCATAATATGTGCACATACATATATAGTATTTATTATTGTATATTACTGGATGGAGTAAAAAATATATATAGATAATCAATTCTCTTTCATCTTTAGCTTCTTTCTATAGATGCCCAAACATCTCTCTGAGTCTCTGGTGTTTTCCTGGAATTTCTGGGTACTGGGTACTGTCTGCACGTTAAAGTTGAGATAATAAGTGAGTTTTTGGGTATTTGTGGTTTTGGGTGTCTTTGATTTTTTGATGTATGCATTTATTAGCTGAGTATTGAAGAAGAATTGAAGAAGAGAAAATTAATCTGGGTTGTGGTGAAGTGGCAAAGCCCATGTCAGTTCATAGCTCAACTGCTTCTTGGAAGTCCGTTGATGCGGTCTCCGATCAGTTTCCGGCGGGTCTCCGGGTGCTTGTTGTGGATGATGACCCCACTTGTCTCAGGATCTTAGAGAAGATGCTAAGAACTTGCCACTATGAAGGTATCCAATCTTTATTTCACGCGTACAGTTTTATATATGAAGCTAAATGTTTGGTTTGATTTGATTTAATTTAATCTGTGGAGTTAGTTTATCTTTGATGATTGAAGCTTTCAAATCTGTATGTGTTTGGGTGAGAAATTGGTTGCAGAGATTAGAAATCTGGGGTGATTTAGAGGAATTAGGAATGGGATCAAATCATGGAGATTTGACTGTAATATCATTTAACAACTAATTATTCAGGATTCAATTGTTTGGGAGTTTCTTTTCTTTGTGTATTGAAGCTGAAATGGGAAGTTGATTTCACTTTAGATCTTGTATTATACAAAATCCCTTGGTGTTTTTGAAGTTCCCAATCTTATTCAATTTCAATTCTGTGAGAAGTTCAACATATTGGGTGTTGGGCAGAGGCCGGTAAAGGGTCAAGTCTAAGTACCCTGGCGGTCTAAAGTTCTGCCTTCGCTACTAGCTATAACTTTTGGCGTTTGTTCGGGTTTTGAAACTCCATTGGTTTGAGAAGATCTTGTTTGGAGTGGTATGCCTTGGAGATGAGAGATTGTGATCTTGTTGGTTTTTGGATCTTGTAATTGAAGTTTTTCTTTTTCTTTCAGTAACTACGTGCAATATGGCGGAGGTTGCATTATCTCTGCTCCGGGAAAATAAAAACGGCTTTGATATTGTTCTAAGCGATGTACACATGCCAGACATGGATGGTTTCAAGCTTCTTGAGTACATTGGACTCGAGATGGATCTTCCCGTCATTAGTAAGTAAACTGTCTTTGTTATTAGTTTCAGATTCCACCGACGCTAAGACTAAGAATTAGTTAGTTTGGGCCTGCACGGGCTTAGCTCGCTCAGTAGACAGTATTTGGGAGAAGAGACTAATGTTTGAAACTCGGCAGCAACAGTGTGGGGATTATGCCCGAAGTGGGCAAATCCCGACATTTGACCCTGACTATTGAGTCAAGTAAGTTACCGTGATTAACATGTGGTTTTGTAATTTGGCAGTGATGTCGGCAGATGATAGTAAGAATGTCGTGATGAAGGGTGTTACGCACGGTGCGTATGACTATCTGATAAAACCGGTCCGGATTGAAGCGCTGAAGAACATATGGCAACATGTAGTTCGCAAAAGGAAGCATGAGTGGAAGGACAAGGATATTGAGCAATCGGGAAGTGTGGAAGACGGAGACCGACAGCAAAAGCCATCCGAAGATGTCGATTACTCGTCTTCGGCAAATGAAGGGAATTGGAAAAGCTCGAAGAAAAGGAAGGACGAGGAAGATGAAGGCGAAGAAAGGGATGAGACATCTGCACTGAAGAAGCCACGTGTGGTTTGGTCGGTGGAGCTCCATCAACAATTTGTAGCAGCTGTTAATCAATTGGGAATCGACAGTATGTATCGTGCTTCGGTTTATATGTTTAGCCTAGCTTCTATCTTGTTTCACACGTGTTTTCCCCGTCCTTTTGTGATGATTCTTTGTTACAACTTACAATTTACTCTCTTCTTTCCCATATCCCTCTCTAGTTAACGCAGTTTATATGTTTAGCTTTCTATCCACTATATATGCCATAATATTTCTTGGATTTCTCTGAATCAATTCCCTCGTCCTCCTATTCATGCAGAGGCTGTTCCAAAGAAAATTCTGGAATTGATGAATGTACCCGGGCTTACTAGAGAAAATGTTGCAAGCCACCTGCAGGTCAGCAATTTTTTTAATTTTTTTTTCTTTAAATACTTTTAGCAATGCAGAATCTAGGCTCTGATACCACTTGTTAGATCAAGCGCTTATCACTACGTGAAAAGTTATAGCTAGTAGCGAAGACGCCATAACATTTTCAAGAGGCAAGGTGCTGGACTTGGCCCTTCACTGGCCTCGGCCCAACAATCTGCCTAGCCACCAATTGATGGATTTGGCCATTTACTGGCCTCCGCCCAACACATCTTTGCAACACATAGTTGCTTAAAAGCTTTCCATTATTTGAAAAGCACTCATGTTTTCGAACATTGGTAGCAGAAATATCGCCTTTATCTAAGGAGGCTGAGTGGTGTGTCACAGCATCAAAGTGGACTGAACAGCTCTTTCATGGGGCCACCGGACCCACCCTTTGGGACGATGTCTTCGCTCAATGGACTCGATTTTCAAACCCTAGCGGCCACGGGCCAAATTTCAGCTCAGAGTCTGGCTTCACTCCAGGCAGCAGCACTTGGCAGGTCAGCTACGAAACCAGCAATATCGATGCCCCTAGTAGATCAAAGAAACCTGTTTAGCTTCGAAAATCCAAAGTTCAGATATGTGGAAGGCCAGCAGCAACTGAACAATAATAATAAACGAATTGGTTTGCTTCATGGAATCCCGACGACTATGGAACCAAAGCAGCTCACAAACCTGCAGAACCAATCTTCACAGGCTTTCGGGAGTCGGGGTATGCAACCTCATCAGGGGCACCAGAACAACTCCTTACTAATACAGGCTCAGATGTTAAACGAACCCAATGGCAGTCAAGTTTCGAGGGTCACGCAGCCCATATTATCTAACGGGATGTCTAGTGAGCTATTGGCACGAAATGGTATTGTTGACAATTCGCGTGGTGCCATATACCAACCCGTGTCCCAGGCCGATTTCTCGGTGAATCATAATACTGAGATGCAGAACAATAGTTTCGTAAGTGGCAACTCGGGAATGTCATCATGTCTAGCATCTAAAAGGATGATGATCCCGGAAGAAGTTAACTCCGATGTCAAAAGACCAAGAGGCGGCGGGGGCTTTGCTCCTCCCAGTTACGATATATTCAATGACCTCCAACAGCATAAAGCACAAGACGACTGGGGCGTTGGGGCAGTTTTCGAGGCCTCTCGTCTCCCAAATGCACAAGGAAGCCTAGATGCGTCACCATCGGTGATGGTTCAGCAAGGGTTTTCTTCAAATGGGCGGGTGTCTATTGGCAAAGCTGTGTTTCCAAGTGGGCAAGAAAGCGGGAACCCAATGGTCGGTCCACAATTGAACTCGCTGCTGGGTGGCAATTCGATAACAATCAAAGCTGAAAGACTTCCTGATACAAGCTATCAGAACACACTTTTCCCCGTCGACCAGCATGGGCAGGACGACCTCATGAGTGCACTTCTCAAACAGGTAATAATTTTCATTTCATATTCTAGCTCCCTTGCATTTAGCTGACGGGCCGCTTGGATATATATAAATAATTTCGTGCTTGTACAGCAAGAAAGCGTAGGAGCAGTTGAAAACGAGTTCAGCTTCGATGGATATCAATTGGGCAATCTTCCAGTCTAAGGACATTCCCGCTGTGTACATAGTTGCTCCTCGTTCATCTGAACTTTTAACCTAATTGCTCAAACACGTACGGGAGGGAGATTCAGTTGCAGTTGCTGCATCTACCGCGTGATTACCCGGCCTGTTGGTATGTTACGTTGGATTCGAGCCCCGATAAATTGTAGGTGGGTGTGTGTACTATACTATACTGCTGCATGATATGCAAAGGCATATATACATGCATGCAAACCAACATTTTTGACTGCCCAACAACACCCCAAAAACTCTTAACTTTAATAATATTGTTATTGTTATTACTTTCTTGGATTTAGTCTTCTCATGTACAGATTCTATTTGATTGCTCCAGCCAGATACAAGCCTTGCCTTGCTAGCTTCAATTCCCCACTTTTAGTTGCCACTCTCAACATTCTTCTTGTTTCTTAATGCCTTTATGACTTGGTTACTAAACTATTTGTGTTTATTATTGCTCAAAATTTCATGCTTTACTACTTTATACACCTTGTATGTTATGTATAAATATAATATTACTTGTATTTATTACTGGAGTGACTCTCTTGTGAGATTGGTTAGGTCAAAATGGAAATACAATACTAATATAAAAACTGTAATATTAATCAAGAATAAAGCGTGAAAGTATTGAATAAAAATGCAATACTTTTTAATCAAAATATGTAAGTATTATATTTTCCTTTATATTACACTTATAAAGATATGTGTCTAATTAGTATTACATTTTTGCCTTCACTTTCTCAATTGTTTAGATTTTGTCAAGTACATGTAAGAAAGAGAGGAAAGAGAGAAAAGAGAAAAAAGACTTTGAAAAAATTGTTATTTACGCATCGCATGTGCCAACTAGCGCAACAAGCGTGTCCAACGCGCACCTACAAGTTGTGTATTTCAATTTCTCAATTAATTGGGTTCACAACAAAACTTAACTTGTAGGAATAAAAATCCCTTCCCATTAGTTAAAAAAATTTCTCAATTTTTTCTATCTTGTAAAAAACCCTCCAAAGATTTATTGATGGGGTTACACTTATTAGGGCATCCTCAATAGTGGAAGGGTTTTGTGGAGATTTTGCAGGTGGAATTAGGAAAGAGAAATGGGTGAAAAAATAAAAAATAAAAAACAAAATAAAAATTGAAAAGAACTCCTAAAATCTCTAAAATTACAAAATCCCTCAAATAACCTAACAAGTAACAACTCCAATTCTCTCTCTCCTCCAACACATCAACTTTTTCTTAAAATATGTGCAAAATCTCCTTATTGGGGATGCCCTAATGGGTAACACAAGATAAATACTCTGCAACATTTAGCTTAGTTATGACAAATCATTTTTTCAAAAATGGTGCAAAATCGTGATAAATCATAGCTAGTGCACTAAAGAAAAAAAAAATGAAACTGAAGAATTGAAATAAGCGGTATTAGATGTCAATGATTACATCATGTATATCAGCCTACACAAATTGGACTCAGAGAACTGAGTGGCAAAATCCTTTGCACAAAAATTACATACAATCATTTGTCTTCTGGGTGTATAGCTTGAAGACTCCACAATCAGTCTAAAGAATGAAGAAATAAGACAGTGCAGTTTATAGTCTTAACAACATGAAGACCAGGAGAGCAAGGATGGTGGAAGTGAGCATGGATGAGCTCACTCTAAATGACCCGCTTTTCGGGAGAATTTTCGGCAGTGAACACTCTTCTCCATTGAAGAACACCTTGGTCGGGAACCCGTCACCAGCAGCCACGTTGATACCGGGAATGTTCTTCTTCGAGAACGAAATTACAGACTGCTGTTTACCTGGTACTCTGGGATCCCTCTCAGGATTCGCCCCGTCTGCCTCTCCTACCAAATAGTTCAACCCGGGAAGGCCCTGCATGAAAATCGTGTTGTCCACGCCACTTAGTGTGCTCCCGTTGAAGGAATAGACCTTCTCGAAGCCGGGGGCAGCTTTGTCCAATTCAATTGCGGCGAACCAATCGGCGAATGCAGAGTCGTCCCAGTTGAAGAGCGTGATCCGGGCAGACCACCCGCCCCGGTAGTCCGTGAACAAATGCCAGTTGATACTAACGCCGCAGTTATCTGGACACGGTAGAGGGTTCGGGACGGGGAAATGGTTAATCCCGGCCCAGGCTAAGGACAATTTAGTCCTGTTCTCGAAAGGAACCAACAGGGACTGGGCGGGGAGGAGAAGCGCGGGCGCTTTGGTGCTACAAGTGCTGGCTGTATTGGCGGGGCAGCCGCAGGCACAGGTCGAGCACGGCACGACGGATTCGTTGTAGTAAGCCGAGAACGAGACACAGCACCTCGGGCTCGCCCCCTTCGGTTGGGTAATGTTGCATACCACTTGCCAGCTAGCAAACACGGCTTTACTCGGCAGCAGCCCACTAGGGTCCGGGAATTCACTGGGACTCACACGAACCGGGGCTCCACACTTATAATCTGGATTTAGGCGCCCGCTGATCTTCCAATTCTGGGGCGGGGTGAACGAGGAGCGGTTGAGATCAGGCGGCATCTTAAACACATTCATCAGGAACGCAGAAACCGACTTGCTGGGATCCATTGCGGGAGGCAAAATCGTGCCATTCCTACAACAAAAAGGGATCTTCCCTAGAGTTGTGTCATTCGCCTTCTCAAGTGGTAGGTCGATAATAGTCGGCCTCCTCTCGCAGTTCAACACATTGGAGAAGTCGAGGTCCTTGTAAAACTCGCCCTGCCTGCCAAACAGGCAGTCCGACGAATCAACTACAGAGGGATAAGCCCCTTGCATGTTAAATATGAACTCATCCCTCATCCAATCCCAGCTAAGTTGCCAGTTGTCAAGACGCCCGAGCGGGTTATGGTTCGCAATGGTGACCTGCGCCCAGTAATTCGAATCATATGATCTCGTGATATCATACATAATTGTTAGATCACCATCTCTACGAGGAAGGAATTCCTCATCTTTGGTCAGATTAGCCTTGAATTTCGGGTCTTTTGTACAGCACACCATCATTGTACTGTTTCCTGAAAGAAAGAAAGAAAGATGCATAAAAATGAATTCAGTCCATAGCTATTAGCTTTTCTTTATTCTTGTCTAAGCCTTTACCGGCCTCCGCCCAACACCAACTACGCCAATAGCTATAGCTAGTAGCGAAAACGCAACTTTATTTCCTTATAAACAGACATCACATTTTCAAGACGCTGGGTGCTGGACTTGACCTTTTTAGCCCTTACCGGCCTCCGCCCAACAATCCCAACCACCGGGCGATAGACTTGGCCTTTACTGGCCTCCGGGCAACATAACCATCTAGTAAATCTTACCCACAATAAACACAAATTAAAAAGGCATGTAGTGTCTGTTTAGCAACAACAGAAATGGAGGATAAAACACACTTGAAACACCCAGAATACAGCTCTGCCAAAATATGTATTTGACAAAATGAATTTAAACAGTTCTGTACATCAATGGATCATCTTAATTCCATCAAAACAATCCTTTTATAAGCTTTATTTTTGCATAGGTTAAGAATTAAATGACATCCAAATTTCAAAATCTGTTCTGACAAAAAAACAAATCAGTTATCAACCATATATTCAAATCATGATTCTTCTGATCATGATCTCAAGTATTTCTCCATTAAATTAACCAAATTTCCCATCAAATCCGATTTTGTGTTCTAAAGAAAATTTCCCACCAGGAAAAACGGATGTATAACGCCACTCCTATGACAGCAACATGGGACCATAGTATATAAAAACACGTAATTATCATCAAATAAAACATCCTTAATGAAAGGGAAAACAAAAAACTAGCATATTCTTAGAACAGAAAAAATAATTAAATAAATCAACATCATAATCACCAAGTTTCAAAGAGAAAAAATAAAATAAAAAAGACCAAACCTTGCATTGAGGGTTTAGGACAAATGAAGCCGTCATTGACGAGCGAGATGTTGGACGGCATGGGAGCGTTTCCTCGGCCGACGCCGAACTGGGTTCCGACCAACTCAACCCGAGCACTCGTCTGGGTCGAATCGCCGGCGGTCTCGATCGCAGTCTTCAGATCCGAGTTGGGGAACCCGGCAAAAACAGTCCCATTGCCCACCGCCGCCGGGAGCGACGTCCCGTCGTCGAGCACGGAGTTGGAGGCGGAGACGAGGAACTCATCGTGCTGGAATCCGACGAAGACCCGCCACAACTTGAGCTCGTCGACGCCGTTGTTGACGATACTAAGAGCGGACTCAAATCGGTAGGGCTGGCGGGTCTTCACAGTGGGCTTAAGAATGGACCCGGAACTGTACACGTACTGCAAGAAGATGCCGTTACAATCGTCGGCCGGAGATGGAGGCTCCGCCGCCAGCGGCGGAGATTTCTGGGCCTGCGCAAAATGGATTGGAACGCTTAGAAGAAGAAGAGGGAGGAAGAGGAAGAGGGAGAAAGCAGCCATGATCTCTTGAATCTACTTTCCTGAAACTGAATTCAAAATCGAGAGAGAGAGAAAGAGAAAGTTTTTTTATTTATAAATGGAAAAATGGTGGTGTGAGTAAATCAAAATTACTGCGAAATACGATTAGTTTATATTACTCCGTAGTAGGAAGTGTGAAAGGGAAATGCGGCGCTGATGAGGAGACGCGGAAAGACAAGTTAGCGACAGCTTTGAGAAAGCTGTTTCAGTGTTTTCCTATTACTCTTTTTTAAATTCAAAATTAGTACTTGTGAGTTATAATAACAAAAAACTCAAATTAAGTCCCGCATTAGCTTAACATAATTGATTCGTCCTCTTGACTTAAGTATCATGACTGGAAACGGTAGTGTGTGATTCGAAATTCCACTAAAAATATATGAAAAAAAGTCTAAAAATGATGAAAAGTCTAGATTAGATCGGTTATATGCACAATAAAATTAAAATATAACGGGTGAGCTAATTGCGTTACTAGTAGTTTACCTCCACCGTACTTTTAAGGAGAGAGTCCTGTGGACTTAATATTAGTCTGGTGAAATTGGTATCACCTATTTTTTTTTTTAAAACCCAAATTAAAACACATATTTGTATTTTCCTTGTACTAATACTTATTCTGAATTTAAAACAAAGGTTGTATAGTATATATTTTAGTATGTATTGGTACATGATCAAATAAAATGAAGCTAAACATGAAAAACAAAAAATTGTTTTGATTTTTAGTTCTTCGAGTACAATAACATTGGTGTGTATGGTAATATGAAATGACATTTTTTCTTAAAATTGTATGCTAATAGTTAATTTAGTACTTAAATTATTTATTTATGTACGTTTTTCTCCTTAATTGTTTCAAAGATGACAATTTTTTCTCCTCTTTGGCATTGCCTCCATTTAGATCGTTATGTGTAAGGTCTAAATAGAAATTTCATATACTTGTTTTTTTTTTTTTTAATGAACTATAGCAAGATGTAAAATATTACCCATAAAAAAATATATAAATGTTCGAGTTTTAGGTTCATTATCCATACACATCAAATTTAAAAGCAACAATTTAAGTCGGGCAACACAAGCTATTGAGCCCAAATGCATAATGTTGCTCTCAAGCACAATCCAACCTAGAAGAATAAGTGCAACACACCATATTAAACTTGAAACCGAAAAATCCAAGCTTACCGTGATGAAGAACGGAAAATTTTACTATGGACCATTGTCCAAAGCGGTGTCGTTTCTTTTAATTAAAAGAAATGGCACTCGTTCCCTCCAATTACTTCTGTTTGTATGATGTATTTAGTTTCATTTTATATACATTGTAGTTTTATTTCGTCAGACTTAAAGTATCATTTTGTTTCAACTGCAGTTTCATTTGACATTATACACTCAATATTGAGACCTATTATTGAATTTCATCTTATACACACTGCAGTTTTATTACAACACCACTAAAGTATAATTCTAATTCAACTACAGTTTCATTGGACAATATACACTCAAATATGTGAAATTGTTATTCAGTTTCATTTTATATATACTGTAGTTTTATTACAACACAATTAAAGTATCATTTTGATATAAATATAGTTTCATTTGACAATATACACTAAATATGTGAGATATGTTATTTAGATTCATTTTATACATACCGTAGTTTCATTTCAACACAACTAAAGTATCATTTCAATTCAACTAAGGTTTTATTTGACAATATACACTCAATATGTGAGACATGTTATTCAGTTTCATTTTATACACATTGTAATTTCATTTCAACACAATTAAAGTATCATTTTAATTCAACTACATTTCATTTGATAATATGTACTCAATATGTGAGACATATTATCCAGTTTCATTTTAGATACACTCTAATTTTATTTTATTTTGAACACATCACACATACGAGATTTTTGTTAAGTATAATGGTCGTCATTTCTTTAGATAAAAAAAAATAATGTCGTTTTTGGACCGTGGTTCACCACCGTATAACAATTAGATGAAGAATGCATCATACTTTCCTATGGTGATTGACTTGGATTTTTTTTTTTTTTTAAATTCTTTTTTACTACTTTACTTTAATAAATGTTCAATTTTGATCTTTTAAGGTTAAAATAATATTTCACCTTTAATTCAAAATTTTTGCCCACTAAAAATGAAATAAATCAATGTCACACATATAAAAATATCGCCATAATCAATAAACAAAATGTGAAATAAAATTTTAAAAATAATCATCCAATGAAAAGATTATTAAACCTAAAAATGTGGGAGGAACATACAATGACATTAGTAAAGTTCAAAATCATCAATTTATTTATTATTACGGATTATTATTGTTGTTGTTGTTGGATTTAGCATGAATGAAATTACTTCAAAAAAGTGGGAAAAAAAAAAAAAGAACTTCAAAAAGTTGGAAAAAATTAACATGATTGTTAACTCAACTGTTTAGTTGGTAAGTAAATTGTTAATATAACTGCAAGAGTCAAACTCTACAGGTGCAAGTCAAACCGAATCCATATTAGTTTCACAGTAGTGAGGATATCGAATGCCCTATATAAAAAAAAATGGTTGTTTAGGAGTGTGAGAAAAAAAAAATTAGTCTTTTTTTTTTTGGTGAGTAAAAAAAAATAAAAATTAGTCTTTTATATATAGACTAACAATGCTAAGTTGAATTAATTGTATCTCACAAGATATAAATATCTAAATCTAAAAACATAATAAGTGTGAATGAAAGTTATACCCTTTATTTATGTCCGTTTTTTCTGTTAAGTTTTTTTTTTTATATATACATTATGCTATAAATGTTATACTTTATAATATTTTGGACAAGCATACCCTTACCGTTATAACTTCCGTTATCTTTTCCACTATTGTTACCATGCACGTACATCCACCATATATTTTCTTATCTTATTCAATAAGAATAATAATATTTATACATTATAATTTAGAGTTATTTCCTACAATATAAATATCAAATGTATAAAAATGTTTACACTATTATTATTATTATTATTATTATTATTATTATTATTATTATTATTATTATTATTATTATTATTATTATTATTTATAATTTAAATATTAAAAATCTTAATATAAAATACTAATATTGGGCACCTAATTTTTGCGTATTGCGCATCAGAAAATACTAATTAGTGTAATACATGAAAAAAATGTAATAATGCTTGAAAGACATAAATAGACTTTATTTCCGTAAAATTTTAGGAGAAAAATGAGTGGAAAAGGAAAATTGAGGACATGAGTATTATTTTAGCGTAACGACGTAGTGGAAAGGGGCTTTATTAGTGTACCGTTGGAACAACGAAAAGCCATTGCTGGAAAAGCAATATAAATATATTTTGAATATCCAATGTGCTCTGTGGATTCCCCAGAAATTGAAACTTTGAAAGAGATATTTTGTATGCGCGTTTATGAACGCCATCTCTCTCCATTTATAATTCTTAAATGATTTAATTCTATTGTTATTCTTAAATTCATCGGCCCCATTTCACTTTTAGTCCTTCATTTTTCAAACATTCAATATTGATCCTAATATTATTATAGTATGATCATTTTTTGTCTTCTGTTAACAAATCTATTTAAATAGTGTTAAATATGAGGACATTTTAGTCTATTCAACTTACCATCTCCTCAGCTCCTCTCTATCCTGATGAGTAATTTATTTTTTGGTCCTAGATTTATAGGTGTCACTTTACTTTTAGGGGGCGTTTGGTTCACGGAATTTTGGATTATCCCAGGTAATAGGATTACCTCCAGGAAGGTAATGTGAGATGTTGGAAATGTAAGATTACCTTGTGTGTTTGGTTTGGATGGTGTAATATAAGATTACCTTGTTTGATTCAAGGTTATATTTTAGGTTATATGAATCAGTTTACAATAATGTCCTCAATAATATATATATATATATATATATATATATATATATATATATATATATATATATATATATATATATATATATATATATAATGTGTGTGTATTTATTATGTATGAATGTATATCAATGCTTAAATATTAAAAAAAAAATTAAATATATAAATATACACATGTATATTTGATTATATAAACATATATTAATTTCATTATTATTATTATTATTATTATTATTATTATTATTATTATTATTATTATTATTATTATATAAGGATTAGTTAACAAAGGCAAAGTTGGAATAATTCAAGGTAATCTTATAACTTGAACCAAACAAGGTAATATAACATTACCAGACTCAGATTACCTAGGTAATCTAAGATGACCTGAACCAAACGCCCCCTTAGTCTTTCTTTCATAAACTACTCAAAATTCCTAGACACAATGCGACACCATTTTCAATTATAGATATTTTCTTCATTATGTTAGGGGCAGAATGGTTGAAATGGTTGTACACTAATGACTATCACAATGGCATAATAACAACTTTTAATTCAAAAAAAAAAAAGAAAAAAGAAAAAAAAGAAATACATCATAGAGTCAAATCATGCATTACACAAGTAAGTTTACACAATAGCAGTGTCTCATATGACCATATTACATATTCAACATTTGCCCTCCTAATTAAATTGAAAAAAAAATTAAATTGAAGAAATGCTACATTTACAATTCTCATGCTCTGCATTTGTACAAAAATTGAAACAAAATGACTACGACCACCAAATCGCTTGCAATACCTTTGCAAAATTAGAATTTATTACCACATCCAGTTTCTTTTTTGAAATTTCATTTCCATGACCTCCAAGCTAATAAGTTTTTAGATTTCAATTTCTTTCTTCTCAATTGTGTACTTTAGTGTTTGAATTTCTACATCATTCTTGTTTAAATGTTTCAATAATCCTCATATGACTATTGCAACACGGTCAAACACATCCATATTAATCCATCTAAAGTCTTCACAACTCTCATTTTTTTTTTTTGAAAAATTAAATTTTAATCTTTTAATTTATTTATAAAATATTACTTAAATTATAATTTTTAGAAAAATAAAAAACTTACTTTATAACGTGGGCAAGCTTGATATCTTTTATCCAGATTAGCATAACTCCGATCCATGACATTTTCATGTCTAATAGATCACCACAT